AAGGTATTTTGACCATCGCCCACATGTATATGAAGTCATGTAAGCTGAAGGGCGCCTCTGCTTGGCGATCACTGCAGCCCAGGTGCCAACCAAACGTGCTTCAAACCTTGGCAGTCAGCTGTTCGGGGCACCGCGCACGGAGATGTAGCTAAGCAACATGCGGCATGAGATGACCAAACCAAACATCTAAATGTGGTGGCACCTGTCCTATCGGAAGATATCAGAAATTTGCCGTGTCTGGGACAAAAGGAGGGCTGCATGAAGGATTTGGGGGTTTTAGTTGGTCTGCAGTCTTCGCATTTTGCTCCTGTCGTCCCCTCCCTCCTCAACAAACAAGAAGCATCATGAGGAGCCCCCATGGGCTATGCACATCTGATGGTTACCTGCACAATTACCCTGCAGTTGCAAGTAAGCAAAGGTACGCGGAACATCGCCGCCATCAATCGCCGCAATCAGTTGCTGCAGCGGTTTGCCACAGATGGGATTGTTCTGGAGATGAAGCTCCTCGAAGGACGGGGCCAAATACCGACGAAACTGGTTGTCTGAAATACGCCCTTATTTGCATCTCCGCCTTTCCTTCTACCCTCTGTTAGACTCTATGAATGTGTCATAGTACGTGGCTCCAGGAGCTCGGGAAGCTGGCCATCCACTGCAGCATCCACCAGCAGCTGAAAGCCTGGACTCGGCCAAGGGCGCTGGGGCAAGCACCCTGTCTGAAATGTGAAACGTGAAGACGACGGCATCTACGGACCTTGCGCATCTCAGTACCTACACAGTTTGCTATTTTGCCATTGCCACTTGCTCTCCACATCTCTGACTGACTCGCAGCTCATTTGCTCGCAAGTGTTTGACAAGAAGGAGACGGTGGAGCCACCCGGTCCCGAATGAATGCCTTCATCTGTGATGTGCTGACCAACCCCAAGCTCGTCCAACTCCTTCAGCCTCACAGAGGGGCTTCGGCTTTCTCCACAGGGGGATCACAGTTAAAACCCCAGAACAATAAACGCTTCAAATGAACACGTGGTCGCAGAGTGGCCTCATAGTATTCGGGTTTCCCAGGCACAGAGCAGATGGTTCTTTCTGAAAAATGCCATGGCCTTGTGAGGAACCCTGTTTAATCCGGACAGTAGAAGCTGCAGCCACAAGAGCAATCAAGCTCCAACAGCTACACGCCCCTGATCACTTGAGTTATTGCTGCTAGTAGTATCGATATTCAAACTGTATGGCTGCTGTGTTTCCAATTAACAATTCCTACCACAAGGGGTGAACTCCTGGTAACTTGCATACTTCAAACCCAGATAGGGGTCGCAGTGCTATGAAATGCTGGCCGGCGCATTCAGCGGGTACTTCGATCAGCCATGGAGGGACCCCTTCAAATCTCTCTGCCGCTGGGATGGCCCCTGGTCTGTTTGAAGGGAGACTGATACACCGACTGATGCCCTAACACCAACCCAAGTTTGGCGAACCGCCTTAATTCCTAAGGAATCCTTTTTTGACCCCATCTTTCTTCAAAGTCTGGGCAAGAGGCCTTCCGCTCTTCAAAGGCCGCTCCAGGCTGCGAATGCCTTTCATCAGATACCAGGCTGATTGTAACCCAAGTTTAAGGTGGACTTATCAACCAATTTGTAAGCATGTCAGGGGAGTTGGGAGCCCTGTACTTGTAATTGGCATGCAATCGCCCTGAACATCCAAGTAGAGGATTCCAAATAGGGGTACCCTGCGTTGGATGGGAGAAGTCTTACATTCTTCAGGGTCTAGCTAATGCTGTAGTTCCTAGGGCATCAGCTGGATGATGTTAGTTTCCTCCATCCACAACAGCGATATGTAGGGAGTATGACTTCGTATAATCAAGGGATTTTGCGATGGACCGTCAGATTAGACCATATGTTTTGGGCATGGTGGCCACACGTGGGTTATACAGGTATACATGGTGGTTGTACATGGGTATCCAGTGTGGATGGTAAGTTTCTCACAGCCCTGCACTATTTTTTTGGGGGTTGTAAGGATGATGTAAGGGGAAGGGAAGATAGGGATGATAGGATTGCTCATAACCTGTCTACCCCTTGGGCGATGTTGGGGTTGTGCGTGTTGGGCGGAGTTCCCTCTGAGATGAAAACTTTTCTCCGGGGCCATATGCCGGGTCTGTGCGGATGCATAGAATTAGTATACTTAGGGCAGCCAAGGATTCACCATTCCGGGTACTTCTGTGGGGCCCGGCTGAGAAGGCTCGGCTTGTTTGGAGAATCCCTCTGCAGCACTACTTCTGAAAAATATGTTGGATTCACTCCTCACAGCGGAACCAATATCGAAGTAAGCCCCCGTCACGTCAAGGGACTAAAGTGGAGAAGAACCCACATGAGTTTTTTGTGGGACAGGGATTGGAGGATGAGCTGAGCAGGGTCTTTAGGTCTGAGGTGTTCGCACACAACATGGTCATCAGCAACACCAACACCTTCACCACCGCCAGCAGCAGCAGCAGCAGCAGCAGCAGCAGCAGCGCCAGCACCCCCGTCCAGAAGAAGAAGAAGAAGAACAACAAAAACAAGAACTACTACTACAAACAAGAATAGTAGTAACAATGAAATAATAGTAATAATGAAACACGACAAAGAAGAAGACCCATAATTCAAGGTACCACATGCCCCTGCAAAAAAGCACATCGAACATACGCATTTGCCATGCTCATTTGGACGCAAGCTGCCTTCATCCGAGATGTCATTGTCCATCACCTTAAGAAACATGAGGCAGCTTCTTGCGTGTCTGCGCCTGCCTGGTGCATCCTTATAACAAGGGACTTGCAAAAGCTGCTGCAAGCGTGTGCTGCAGTTGCTACATGTATGCATGGGCGTGCTGAAATTCAGAGCTCGTGCAAGAGGCACATCCGTAAGTAGCCGCACCCAAGTGGCGAGAAGGCTGATGAGGCCTTCGGACGAAAACGCCTGACGGAGTAATTAGCAAAGCTTCGGCTGCTGGTTGTCATGTGCAGCTGGTGCTAGTTCAATGTTTTGCGAAATATTACATTTTGAACAGCTTGCCAGGATCCCAGCATGCCGACCCAGGTGAGTTCCATGATGCGATTCTCCCCCCACCCCCAGCCCCCACCCACCCACCCACCCAC